CCCCAAAACCCCAAAACCCCAAAACCCCAAAACCCCTAATTTTTATTTCAGATTGTATTTAAAAATCTAATTTTACCAATTTTGTCAATAAGTTTTTATCTTTTTGTAATGGAAGCATCAACATCATGGATATCATCTTCCCTGTGGGAGTATCAAATACATATAAGTAGCCATCTGAACAAGGGCAAATTACATATTTCCCATCCTCATCAAAGGTAGAATAAAGGTAAGAGGTATTGGGCTTATCATTGTAGAAAGAAGTTACCAAAACACTAGTCTTGATATCAATCAGGAAAGACATATTAGAGTTATCCAAGCATACAAGCCCCCAGTTCTTTCTTTGCTTGTTGCTCAAATCAGGGTATCTTTCAAAATTGATAACTGCAACTTCTAATAAATTGCTCTCATTTTTATCTAAGCTTAAAGGATTGATAATTTTGACTCAAGAAGTTGAAATCAAATTCCAGATTCTTAAAGTACCGTCACCTGAAGCACTGATCATTCTGTCTTGGTCTTCCATTAGATGAAACTCAGTTATCTGACCTGAATGACCTTTATACTCCTTAAGTAATGATGTATTTTTCAATCCATGAGACTTCAAAACAGTATCAAAAGAGCTTGAGTAGACAATTGAAAGTTTATCATTGAATCTAACACAAGTAATGCCATGGTCGGTATGTGCTTTCTCTATCTTCTTTACTCATTTTCCTTTTTCAAAGTTCCATACCTTGATTGTACCTTCACTATCTCCAGAAGCCAACACTTTACCATTCTCTGAAAATTCAAGATGAAGAATATGAGAGTTATGGCCCATAAATTTACCTTCAGCCTGGAAGACAAATGTATCTCCTTTAGCTACATCAAGTGTGTTTCTGTTCCAGACTTCAATGACCCCATCTACAAATCCCACTGCGAGATATTCCTTTCTATAGGTCAAATTAAAGATCTTACTCTTTGATTGGAGTGGGACAAAGAGAAATACACTCTATTTCTTTGTCATCACCCACATTCTTGCTATAAGATTGTACCAAGGACTTGACGAGGTATGGTTTTCTAATCTCAACCTTTGTTAGATCTTTTTCTTCCTCCTTAGATTCCTGTGGTTTCTTCTTTTTAAGGATTTCAAGAGGGACTTCATCACTATCATCATCCTGCTGGCCAACAGAGAGAAGCTTAAACAAGCCGAATTGGTCTGTATTCTCATCAAATAGAGTAAATGCTTCTCTAAACATTGCTGCTAACCTTTCTCTCCTCTCTTGTCTATCTCCTTTCTCTTCTTGGTCATAGATGACCTGCATATCTATGTCTCCTTGGGTTCAAAGAGAGATTAATTTCTTGATATCATCTTGATGGCTCTCTCTGAGACTCTGAACTCCTGGTTGCTGAAGAAGGACGAGGCCTACAGTGTTACAAAAGATTTCTTACCTATTTTGGAGTCTCCCTCTTCTACTAATTCAAATACGATTTGTTCATAAAGGTCGTATAGCAACTGCTCATTAAGATTCACTCTCGAAAGCCCAGCAAGGACTGCTTCCCATTCGCCTGATTTTATTTTAGGAATTAGGTATCCGAATTCAGATTCTTTTTGTAGCATGTTAAGTGATTGAGCATATCCATTGTCTTCCAAGAAGGTATAAATCATATTTAGTACGACATTTTTATCAATTTCCATTTTTTAGAGTCAATTTTTAGATTTCTTTGTGGGGTTTTGGGGTTTTGGGGTTTTGGGGTTTTGGGGTTTTGGGG